TAGAGAAACTGGGGAGGAAGATGTGTCTTCTGATTGGTGGGCTGGGTCAAGGATTCATGATGCTCTGGATTGGAGGATACAGTGGAATCCATCCCCAAGCAACGGTCGTCCCTGCAAGTTACGTCTCGATCTTGGCCGTCTATCTCTACGCTATCTTCTACGGCATCGGGTACGGACCCGTCCCATGGATCGTCGCTAGCGAAGTGGCACCCAACCACGTGCGCACGGCAGCCATGTCACTTGCCATCGGGGTGAACTGGCTGTTCTCGTTTACGATTTCACGCGTGACGCCCAACTTGCTCGAGGGGATCAAGTATGGGACATTTCTGCTGTTTGGGACGTGCTGCATGCTCATGTCAGCGTGGGTGTACTTCTTTTTGCCGGAGACCAAGGGATATGCATTGGAGGACATTCGGTTCTTGTTTGAAAAAGATATGATGGTGAGAGCGTTGGAGGATGCGCCCGGTGGACGTTTCTTTTTGAGAGGACGGCGATCAATACCTGTGGCGGAGTTGAGGAAGGCTGCTACCGAGGATAGTACGATGGTAGCGCGATCTTCGGACGAGAAGATGAGCGAGGAGAAGGTGGAGGCTACTATACAGCCAGTATAACCAAATTCTGCTTCTCTACTAGGGCCGCTGGAACTGCGGTAGGATGACTGTAACAAGGACTGTAATGACTCATGCCGCGGACGAAGCTCATACTACATTTATCTGTTTGACTGAGACACGTTGACCATGTCTTATCTACGGAATTGGTTCTCGCTCGACACCGTGACCGCAGCAACGTCGACCCGAACGACCATTCCAGGATCATTTGTAGAAGAAGAAGGAGAGGACGAGGACGACGGGTCGAACACAGCAGGCGAAGACGACGTGCCACCTGCATTCCCAGCACTCAACAGTGCTCAGCGTGCAACCTCTTCCTCTGCATCCACATCCGCTAACCTCCCAACCTCGAGCTCAACATCGAACGCCGCTGTCTCTGCGTCTCATGATATCCCTGTGATTCTGAGCGACGATGCGTTGATGCCTCCACCACCTCTTCCTGACCTGGCCCGCCGACAATTGGGCGTCCCACGCGCGCAACCCCAGATCTCTTCTTCCTCATCGTCCTTGTCGCCATCGTCGTCCTTGCTTATGCCGATGGCTACTACGGAGCGCCCCAAGAAGCCCTCGCGCAAGGTGGCGCTCGCACCGGGGTACGGTCCGCTGGACTGGGCAAGTCTCAAATCGTCTGGGCGAGATCTACGCGTACGTCCCTTGTTCAGTTGCATCATTTTTTACCCCATCTCGTTTCCGTTCTCGGTCCTGATGGTCATGGTATGATCTAGGGCGTAGAGACCCTCCTGCGCATCCCACCCTCCGTGCTCAAGCTGCACAACAAGAAAGAAGACGCATGGACGGCTATCAATGGCAAAGTGTACAATATCACGCCGTATCTCCCTTATCATCCAGGTGGTGAGAAGGAACTGATGCGCGTGGCTGGGAGGGACGGGACAAAGTTGTTTTGTGAGAGTTTTTTTTGTATTCGTTATGGCATCGTGACATGATCGGACTGATCTGATGCCGGGGTAGCGTTGACGCATGCGTGGGTGAATGTGGAGTTTATGTTGGATGCGTGTCTCGTTGGATTTTTCGTCTCGGAATCATACGCATCATAGAGCGGATCAGTCTCCTCAAACGAGAACGCATTCGTTGGAGATCGGGGACAGTCGTCGTTCATCATACGAGGTCATAGAGTGTTGCTTCTATATCTAAATCCATGTTCATTCACTCATTAGAAATTTTGATGATTAGCCTTTTCCACGCCAAGCACGACATTGACATTTTGCACAGACTACTCCGAGGCGTAATCGCTTGGATGCATCATGGCCTTCAAGAAGTCGAGTAGTTTGCGTTCATTGCCTGACACGGTGCCAAGTGTTCTTTCACACCATCATCACATGGCGTGCGCTCGTCAATGACTTGGCGAACCCATCTACCGGTCTCGCCCGCACCCGATGTCAGAGTCAGATGATGATGACCCGACTATAGTCATGAAGCACGCCATTCCATCAACTGACCCCTTTCGAAGTGCATGTTTCCAACCTAGAATGGCGAAAACAAGAATAGTCCGCGCCGTAGTTAGCAGCTGGTTGCGCCATTCTCCGTTCGGTTGTCGCAAAGCCCTAGCTTGGCTTAGATATGCGATCAAACGATTCTCAGCGTATAAAGACGATGTAATGCGATGAGATGGGCGTCCAACCGTCCTTGTCTCTCTATCCCCAACGATGGCTCCTGTCGCGACGAACCAGAACCGCAACGGGGAAACCGACCGTGTCGCACAACTCAAGCAACAAGTCAACCCTTTTTACTCGCCCAACGCTGATTCTGCTGTTGACGACACCTACGAGCACGCTGCTTACAAGGTGAGCGACATCACATCCAGAAGTCTGAAAATAATGTCCAAGACGTATACCGTAGCCATACTTTCCCGTCATCGATTGGGCGCCGCTCCAGGAAATCGAGGTCACTGACCGCGGTCAGTTTGCGGATCCAGAGAAGAAGGCCCTGTTCGGGGCCGCGAACAAGGTTCAGCACCTGACACCAGCCATCGGAACAGAGATCATAGGCATCGATTTAAGGCAACTGACCCCTGCCCAGAAAGATGAGCTGTCCGTCCGTCCCCGTGGCGTTCCCGAGGTAGTGGACTGACGGTGTTCCGACAGGGCTCTCCTGGTTGCCGAGAGAGGCGTCGTATGTCCGTGGCGCTTGTCCTTGTCCTCGATCGCAGCTGACCTTGCAACAGTCTTTAGGGACCAGGAACTGAACATTCACGAACAGCTTGATCTTGGGAGACATTTTGGTCCTCTTCACAAACACGCAACGACCCCGATCCCCAAGGAACCTGGACTCGAGGAAGTACATGGTGAGTGACGAACATGGGTGTGATGCAAACCAACGATGACACCCACGATAGTCGTATACAACGATGCCGCACGGCGTCCGGACCCGGCAGCCTTTGCGAAATCGGAGCTCTGGCACAGCGATGTGACGTACGAGATCCAACCCCCAAGCACGACGTCTCTCAAAGTCATCACCTGCCCAGAAAACGGAGGTGACACGCTCTGGAGCTCGGGGTAAGTATCAAGTCACCGATCAGCGATAAGCCCCACGATGTGATACTGACGATCGACCTGCGTATCCAGGTACGCCCTGTACTCGTCCCTGAGCCCGGGAATGCAAACCTACTTGGAAGGGCTTACCGCCCTCCACAGCGCTGTAGCTCAGGCGGACGGTTCCCGCGGTGCCGGACTCCACGTTCGTCGTGAACCCGTCGAGACGGTTCATCCTGTCGTCCGCGTTCACCCCGTGACTGGCTGGAAGAGCGTCTACGTCAACCCCGGCTTCACGCGTCGCATCCTCGGCGTGCCCAAGGCCGAGTCGGACACTATCTTGAACTTTTTGTTCCAGCAGATCAGTAGCAACGTCGACTTTCAGGTACGTTTCCGCTGGGAGCGAAACTCGATCGCATTCTGGGATAACAGAGTGAGTCATTGTCGACACGTGTGGGTTGGGCTGTGATCTCACGGAGAAAAGTAGATCGTGACGCATACCGCGACGTTCGATTTCTGGCCCCAGAGGCGTCATGCCCTAAGGGCAACCCCCCACGGGGAGCGACCCGAATCCGTCGAGGACTATGAGAAGCGAACTGGAAAGGCCCCCAAAGATCGTCAGATTGAGATTTGGAGGCAACAAGGCATCGAACCCCTTCAACAGAAAATAGGTGCATCGAGGGCACGTGGCTACAACGACTGAAATATAATTAGTTTTTATCCTGTACCAACACATGTTTCCGATAGGAAAGATCAACGATCTGTGGTATTCAAAGCGTAAGGAAAGGCGTAGAAAGCGACGTTCAATGCAAAACTAACTACCTGCCGTACCGTCCGACCCTCTCATCGCCTGATCAAGCTCGAGACAACACACCGCCAATCGCAACAAGGACTCTCCGTCCCGAAGCACGGCCGCCTCCAACTCCGCGCTCAAGTTGCCCTCTGAAATCTTGTTTTTCAAGAGCTCAGCAAAGACACGCAACGTCCGTGCATGTTCACCAAACGGACCCGTCGCGTCGCCGTTGACGGTACGCGTCAGCGGTACACGCCCCCGCAACGCATCGTCAAACATGACAGTGGCCTTGGCCAAGGAGAGGAACGGCCGACCGTCGCGTTCGACAGCGCGCGCCAACGCATCCTCGTGCACGCACTTGTCGCTCTCCAACCACGTCGCGAAGCGCAGACAGACAGAGATGGGTTTCTAGATGGGGGGGACAGAGGCGCGCACCAATCGTTCGCAGGCTGTTAGGGGCGGGTCAACGCATCAAGAGACGCGCGCGTCGTCTACTTACGTCGAGGACGTGCAGTGCTGGTCGGCGCCATGCGATCAAGGGTCCAGCTCCAGCTCCAGCTCCCGGTCCCGGTCCTGGTGCGGGGTCCGTCAAAGTCCCATTGGCAGATGGCGGCGCGTCCGAGTGAAGCGATACGGGTTCAGGGTCATCGGGAATGTCGATGTCGATGTGACTCGACGCGAAGCTCGGGGCCGTGGGGACAAGCAAAGCTGGAGCACTGTGTCCTAGCCATCCGATGGTCTACGATCAAAGAGGCGATGGTGCATACCTGGCAAAGGCGCAACAGCGGCGCTTGGGCGCTTGAGAATGGACTTGAGGGGTGACTTGGTTGGTGGACGATGTTGGACGCGTTTCTTGGATTGACGTCTCGCCGGTGTGGGTGGTGGTGCAGGACTCAGAGCAGATGCTGTTCGTTCGTTCAGCCCTGTGGCATATTGTAAAAGGGTCAATGTGACACTCACATAGTAACAAATGTGTCCCGGTGGTTTTACGTGCTGTCTGTTTTTTCTTCTGAGACATGTTCCAACATGACGCAGAGACGTCCGTTTGTGGACAAGCTGCTTTGGTGGTTGAAATGGGTATAGATACGAAACTGAAGGTCATCCGACAACGAACCCGTGGCGCAGTGGTAGCGCGTATGATTCCAGCTCATTATTATGAGGGATTCCATAAGGTCATCCGTTCAATCCGGGTCGGGTTCACTCTTTTTTTTTTACCATTTTATCTCAGACCCAACAACTACTACAACTCAGGGGATATGATTGATTGATTGCCAAAGATGTATATAAGTACGTGGTGAGTGCAATAGATTGCATGTTAGATGATAAGAGCAGTACTGGTAAAGATCATCAACGGTGTCATGGATATGTGGCTCAGCTAAGGTGTCCATAAAAACGCACAGTCCGTCTACTTGCGCGAAAAAAACGAAAATCGCTTCTTCGATGGGGTAGCTCCGGAAACTCCACTGTTCCCAGACAAGCTCTCGACACGCACAGACGACGAAGCAGGGCTGTACTCCCCAGGATTTTCCCTGTGTTTCCGCATGTAAAAGAGAAGTGAGTGTCGAGCCCGAGGACCTTTGGAGCTCTGTGAAGGCCGAGGAGTGGTGGGACTACTCGAACGGGAAAACGAGGATGAGTCTGGCGTTAGGGGCTGTAGAGAAGGGCGATGTAATAGGCCCTGGGGAGTCGAAGATGGTGGCGAATGGAGTGAAACGTGTGATGACCATGACGGTTCGACTGTGAAGGGTGGCAGGGCGAACGACGTGTATGGGCCCGTGTCGGACTCCTCGGATGGCGGAGGAGCGTCGACTGGTTCTGGTGGGGGAGCAACCTCGATAGGTTTCATCTCCCTTGGCTTGATGAAGAGCTCCCGATCTGGGAGAGAGAATTCATCGTGGATAAGGTCAAATCCCCCGAGGAGATTCACTGCATATTCTGGCACGTGGACCGCATCCTTATCCAGGTCCGCGAGAATTTCAGAGCGTGTGCGAAAGGTAACGTGGCTGATGATAGTGGCTATACCCCCAGCCTCTTCACCTACACCCTGCGATGATGAAGAGCCCTCCGAGGCAACGGATAACGGGGGTGTTGAAGGTCGGGTAGATAGCCGACCTTCGGAGCCGTCAGGGTGCGTCGCTTCGATGGTTAAGCGAGAACTGCGAGAGGATACCGAGCGGTCCGAGATAGAATGCGCTTTTGCGCCATATTCTGTGCCCTTGGTGAGCGGGTGTATATCGATGGGGGAATTACCAGGACGAGGTCTGCAAGGCCGTTTCACTGGATTGAAAGCATCACCAGCCATAGACAGAGGACGTGCATGTTTCGTTGTGAGGTGTCGCAGAGGAGGGGTGACGGACGATGGCCGGAGGCGGATGGGAGACACGTCGCTCATTGACATTCGACGTGGGAATGGCTGGTCAAGAGCAAGCCTACACTTAAGATTGAGGTTGAACGATGTCCTCGTGGGAGAATAGTCAAAAAACCGGGCAAGATTGGCACTCCGTTGTGCCTCGTTGTTGAGGGCAGGAGACGAGGCATGATTCTCATCGTCATGTTGGTCTGACCCACGATCCGCCTTCATTCGTGACAGATGCTGAGTCAACATCTCCATCTCCTTGTCGACCGCACTGCGCCGCTTTTCTTCCATCCAGCGTTCCTGCTGGAGCGCGACGTATACGGAGGGTTCCGTACCTCTCTCCGCAAGAGAAAGCTTGAGCTTCGCCGCACGTTCCCGGGACTCTTTGGCATGTGTACTCAGGACTACGGTGGCTCGTTGCAAGGCATAGATCTGGAGTTCGAGGGGAGACCGTTCCTCTTCGCTGTGCTTCAATGCGCTGACAAGGGCTTGTTCTGCGATGGAGTAGCGATTGCTGCGAGAACTTGCCTCGCTGACTGATCCGCACGGGGATTCCACGCCTGTCGGGGAACAGGTCGTGGGATTGGGTATCAGCTTAGAGTTGGGTGTGCTGACGCAAACGCTTAGTGCGAATCGGAATTTGATAGGAGAACAACGTACGAGAAGGGCTGGACTGAAAGACGTGAAGAGACAGGATTTTGTAGTACGACCATGTTCGTGCGCTCCTAACCGACCAAATGTCAGACGTGTGTCAGTACGTACTACGCGCGAGGGTTTACAGCGGTGACAAAACTTCATACGTTGAGGACAGTCCCTGGTACCAGGCGCCGACTGGTATCAATCCGTAGGGGTTGTGGTTGAAGATAGCAGTTGTTCTGGGGTTCGGGTGCATGAACAAGAAAAGAGAGAAGATAGTTGGAGCCAGAGAATGTTCTGAGCCGGTGACGCAGGCTACAAGTGCCGATGGCAACAAGTTGCACGAGGCTCGCAGTCACACGGCGGCCAAAGTGGAAACGTTGAAACTCGAACACTCCCACGTCTCACATCAAGTTCGTACTACCAATCAAAATATTATCCCCATAGTATGACATTACTCTACCATGCCCCCTCCCGAATTACGATCTTCCAAGTACAAGTTCCTTCAACCCCCTCCCAAGTTGTTTTACCCTCCCCTTCATATTCATTTTTGGCGACCGACCCGTCTCTCGAAAGTGATACCCACCCGGCTCATCTGGCGCGTCCTCCTGTCGCCACCGGGCAAGATTCATTCGCAGCTCCATCTCCCCACTAAGCGAAAACCCAGAACCCACCATGGGCGGCGTTTGACCTGAAAGCACCATCGACATGGGACGCAATTCACGTGCATACTGAATACCAGATCGGTCGCCACAGTCGAGGGACTTTGTCCCGCGTGGTAAGTAATCCACTTGCGGTGGGATCGGCGAGGGGGTGCGAGGAGCGGCTATAGAGAAGACGGGGCTGGTAGGACGTGACATGTCCTTGCGAATCGCAGAATAATACGGCCGACTTGGGTGTCCCAACCGAACAGGGGGAACATCACGATCAGGAGAAGACGTTGGCGATACAGCATGTGACTGTCGTGCTTCCACTGTGGACCTTGGATATATATCCACGCTCTCTCGTAAAGGAGAACGGGAGCGGGGTGAGAGAGAGGATCCGCGCGGGAGTAACGTCATATTTTTGGTCCTGCGCAGCCCGCGTTTAGGGGAACATTGTGACGATGCGATAGACGACGTCGAGTGTATGTAGCCACGATCCGACACGGCCATCGAACCTGTGCTGCGCGGCGTACTCGATGCTTCCATTAACACGGACGTGACAGAGTCCGTGGCTGGCGTGGTCACGGCGTTCTCAAGCCTCATACGTTCAGCTGCGTGGCACGAGGCGCGGAAACTCGTGTGCGGAGGTTGGACGCAGAGAGCTGGGAGTCTCTTTCGGTGACGTTTCTTCAAACCACACTCTTCCGAGTCGTGCTTGTGTGACCCTATCTCGGGTTTGGATGCAACGTTTGGAAAGGAAAAAGTCGGAAGCGGTGGCTACACGACAACGCAAATCAGTACATTTGCCATTCTCAGACAGTGGATGGACATGGGATGAGAAACAGGATAGAAGTACCGTCATCGAGGTTGCTGTGGCGACTCGATGTACGCCACCGTCGACCGTTTCCTCTTCAGCGTTGTGAGAGTTGGTGGGGGCGACAGAGAAAGGAATCGTGTCGCGGTCCACAGCCTCAACGTGATGTGGGTCCAACTGTCGGTCATCGTGACACATATCACGGTGAAAAGCTTCCAACACTGTCGTAATCGAGGAAAACGCTCGCTCGTTCTTAGGGGCGTGTGGGCTGCCACTCGAGACGGCAGACTCTGCAGACATCCTCCGGGGATATTGTCTGATCTTCCTCGGCGCGGGTACCGTTCTAGATGGCGCACTCAGTCGACGTGCTCGTGGCAGGTTTGCCTCGAATTGTTTTGTGGCCTCAGTTGATGTCCATTCGCACCACAAACAAAGGGGGATCCACGCATTTGCAAAGCCACATTGAGCACATACGAACAAAGGGCGATTGGGGCAGAGACGCAGTACCGGGAGTGAATCAGATGGTGGGAGGTGCTGGACGAGCGCGGTCTTGTTAGATCGATCCTCACCATCGACCGATAAATACAAGGGCAAGACTCACAGGCTTGTTCCTCTTCCACTGCCGCTGCAGGTATCGTCGCGGGGCAACGGAGATGTCATGACGGTTGGCATAGTCACCCATGGGTGGCAGCGACTTGGTTCGGTAGGACAAACGGGAGCAAGAAGGCCACAGGGTTGCCAGCCAGCCAAAATAAAGGCGGAGTATCGGGCACGAGGGAAGAATCGCGCGTTCTGCGGAAGCCTGTCCGAAACGCGAACGCGGTGACAGATGAATCGATGAGTATCAAGCTGTTAGTGAAACGTACACAGACATAGCACTGGCACGAAACAGTCAATGTCCTGTCCGTTCTAGCATGCGCAGTATGCGTGCTCTACGGGTAAGGATAGTCATCGTGGGCTAGAAAGAGAGTACAATATTGAAGCATCACAGACACGTTGCAGAACCTAACCTTGCCAGGTCGTGAACATGTGGTCTCCATCCTCCTCGCTCCTCGCTTGTAGGTACCGCGGTGTATTCATCAGCTCCTTTGGAGTACAAGATCCGAGTCCGGGGTCGACCAATGATAGAAATCGAGATCGAGTTCAAATTCCAGTCATCAAAGAACTGGCTATGCGAGTAATGCATCAGGGGAATCTACTGCCGCTACAATACGTGTGTGATATAAATTATGCTTAGGAATAGCAGTGCCAATACTACAGCCTTAGCAAGGTGAGGACACGTAAACGTCCATCAAGCGTAAAATCATACAAACACTGCAATCGCACCTCTTCTCTCATCCATCGTCCATCGCCCGTCCACCAATAGACTGAGGTGAACGCGGCCGCACCCACTAACCGGGCAATTCCACTCGTGCTCAGCGTCTACTGCAGGAGCCTTCATCTTGCCTTTGCCCTTGCGATTGTTTCGCTGAGTTACAGCGGGAGTACCGCGGCGCCCGCCTGAGAGTGAGAGGCCGGCAGGTACTGCGTGGGGAGGAAATCCTGGCATCCCACGACGCGGCCGTAGGCGTGACCGCATTGAACTGACATGGGGATCAACAACCGCGGTGTCTTGACTAGGTGATGGTGAGCACTGCTCCTGTTCTGCAGCCATTCTCTCGCTACTTGATCCGGGTTCTTCGGCAGTTGGTGGAACAGGTTCCATCAGCTTCTGAATGCATTTTCCATCGATTAAATGGCCGCAGCGCAA